ACACCCTGATCTGGAAGAAAACTCTGCTAAGTCCAAGGTGGTCTGTACATGAGCAAGAGTGGAGCCAGAAGTCCAGAGTAGAGATGATTGTGGCTGAGTTAGAGGAATACCGGTGAAGTAGCCGGATTCGAGGTGCATTTTGACTGCACAGCCGATAGAACTTACCGGTCGGTTGGATGCCAGGTGTGAAAGAAAACAAAGAGTGAAGGGCCAGAAGGGCACCCACATCTCCAGAGCAGACATCACAGCAACTGCAGAAGGTAGGAGAGCTTCTTGGTGCTCAACTGGGGACAAAGATGAGAACAGGAAGAAAATGATATCATTGAAGGGTCAGAACTTCGTAAGAGAATATGTAGCAAATACTGTTGGCAGAGGGAGGGCCCGGCCCACCCTTCCCCTCTGACCCCATAAGTCCCTGTGGGACTCATTTCCACTTCCCCATGAAGTGAAAATTTATCTGGTTTGAGGGAAACTGGTCTCATCAAGTGAACATAGGTGCCAGGTAAGATGGGATAGAAAAGGCGCTATTAGAAGCAAGATCAAGAATCTAGAGATTTATTCAACATCTAATAATACTGAAGGTCGGCAGGGCCTGAGGATGTAAGTGAGGCTAGAGGATGAGAGAGCTGGAAGAAAAAGCACGGGGGCCCCCTCACCCCAGCACTGTCGGGTAAAAGCCATCGCGGAAAATAGACTGAAGGCACATGTCGCTCAGGAATGAGAAATACTGAGCCAGAAACTTTGGTTTAAAGGCCGACTAATAGAACTTCCCGGTGCCGAGTTTCCACCGGAGGGCAGTGCCATGGTACTCACATCCCGTTGGTAGGAGGGCCGGTGGGGGTCTGCTCTTTGCTTTGCACTTTAACCTGGTGGGTCTTTTCTAATTTATACATTTACTGTTGAGTAGGGTAATTGTGACATCAGAAGGAAAGCACCCAATCATGGTTTTGTGCTTTTCTCTTGAAATGTCTTCTCAATTTTATTAGTTTCTTCCCCTTTTGTCACTATCTGACCCGTTTCCCTTCTCGCCTGTTCTCTGATAGGTTATGGTATATCGCACAGTGTTCTAAGATTCTAACATCTTAAGTTGGAAATGGATTTTTGGTAGTTTTTGGACCCAGGGTTTAGAAATATTCGACTGGAATATATCTGTTCTCATGAATCTCCGCCATCATAACATCAGTCGTTCACTTTTTCGGAAAGTGAACATCGCCATCCGGATGACCCGATCATTGTGTCACCTTGTGACATCATTAATGTCGATATCGTGTCTGTATCCATGCAGCGAGCATCTAGGTGATCCCTCTCTTATGAAAGATAAGGCAACATTTTCAAACAAAATATGAATCTTGACACAGTTAAACAGTATTTCTTCTCTATTAAATCTTAACTATCGGTATGTGCCTTGAGAGATTTACATGTACTGCTTTACTAGGCCATACGTCGCCCTTTGTTTTCAAACCTTGCTGTGACCCATTTGATGGAATTTGAACATGGAAGTTACAAGACTGCCTCTCTCAGGATGTGAAAAAGGGGGAAAATTATGTAAGAGCAACTTAAGTCTGTGAATGGAGAAAATAGTTCTGTCATGTTAGAGGCTCACTGAATAATGAACAGGTCAAATGAGTCAAATAGTTTTATTGGGAGGTGCATTTTCCAATACCAAAAAAAAAAAAAAGTACTCTCCTATACACTTTTTAGCTTTGAAGGAAAAATTGGAAGGGGGTGACATAAAGCAACAGTGTTGCTTTGTTTAGTGTGCTTCCAGGATATGAATACTTAGAAACTGTGACAGCAGCCTTCTGTTATAAGGTTAATTAAGATGAAATAATGTTTCTGTATCTGTATTAACACAAGGCCAAAGACTACTGAACCAGCTAACTGGACTTTTACGATGGATTGGCAAGATAAAGATTGTAGATGCCACTTACTGAGGCAGCGACAACCTTCCCATTTAAGGTAATACTGTTCCTTCTTAGAACACTTTATGTTTAATTACATATTCACTATTTGCCTTCTCATTGTATTGTAGGCTTCCTAAAGGCAAGGATCAGATTCTCGGAATTTTTCAGTGTCTGGCATGCTATAGGCTTTCAATAGGTCTTGATTTAAGAATAACCTAATTCGCCCGGCCGGGTGTGGCTCAGTGGTTAAGCGTCGGCCTAGGATCCAGGAGACCAGGGGTCGATTCCCGGTCAGGGCACATGCCCGGGTTGCGGGCTGCAGCCGATCAATGACTCTCTCATCATTGATGTTTCTGTCTCTCTCTCTCCCTCTCCTTTCCTCTCTCTGAAATCAATACAGAGATATTTTAAAAAAAAAGAACCTAATTCGGTGCTCTCCCTCTTGGGAGCATGCCTGTGCCCCCCCCCCGCCCCTCCTCAAGGCACGTTACCTTTAGCTTTCTCACTCCCAAGCTCCGAGGGCCCTTCCTTTGCCTCTATAACTTGTTTCCTAAACCCATTTCCTCTAGGAATTACTTCTTCTACCTCTGTGATTTACCAAATAAATGTTATTAAAAAACAAACCCAATTTAAATCAGGGAAAAGTGATCAACTTGGAAAATTGTGCCAGTCAATACACTGATTTCTTCTATTAATTAAACTTTAGCCATAAAATTGAGGTAAGAGTAGAAAAAAACAAATTTCACAAATAACTTAATAATTTTAATCGCTTCTTTCTAACTTTCTGCAACAAGCCTTTTTCTACAGATGATTTTGATCTGCCTTTTGAGAGAAATGTCAATAATAATGATCCCATGGGTAGCAGATAGAAAAGGCCAAGGGCCTGGAAATTAATAAATTATACAGTCAATCCTCAAAAGCTATATGTGTAACACATTTTTGTGTATACTGACACAGCTAACATTTGACATTGTGGCATTGAGGAGACCCTTTTCACCGAACTGTCAAAGTAGAAACTAGGCTTTAACAACGTAGAAACATATATAATTTTTAAATGTTTTTATTGATTTCAGAGAGGAATAACCTAATTTGGTTATTAGAGGNGGCTTTAACAACGTAGAAACATATATAATTTTTAAATGTTTTTATTGATTTCAGAGAGTAATAACCTAATTTGGTTATTAGAGGGAGGGAGGGAGAGAGAGAAACATCAATGATGAGAGTCACTGATCAGCTGCCTCCTGCATGCCCCCTGCTGGGGATCAAGCCTGCAACCCCGTCATGTGCCCTGACAGGGAATCGAACCATGACCTCCTGGATCATAAGTCGATGCTCAACCTCTGAGCAACACCAGCCCGGCAACATAGAAATGTTTTGAAACCAATTAATTCACCAACCATATTTGGCTCAAAGGTAACTGTCAGGGATTCCACAAAAGTGCCAAGAGAAAAATCATCAGATATATTCATCCACAATTACAGTGCAAGAAAAAAGCAACGAGACTCTGCTGGAAACTCCTTAGGAGCAAAGTAAAGTGCCTTAACTGTAATGTTAATCTAAACTGAAAGGCCCAAGGGAGAGGCAATAAGCATTTATCTGATATCCAAAAGAATAGCTATTCAGGAAGCCCTTGATTCAGGCAGAAACCCAGATAGCGTTGGGATTAGAGGGGAAGGCCCCGGCTTTGCCTGAGGAAGGGCATGGGAATTACCTTAGTGGAAGGGAGGAATTTCTACAGGTGCAGATACCCCACGTTACTCTTTAGCTCTGCAGTGGCGCTGCTCGCTGTCCCAACGCCTGCTTTGCACACAGTTGTTAGGAATACAGTGTTGCTCTGTCTGTTATTTTGCCCATTTGAAACATTTCAAAGTCTGAGGAGTGAGAGGGGTAAGGCTGCTCCCCTGGGATGGTGACTCCCACCCCTTTTCGAAGTGGCCGGGTTTACATACTTTCACAGCTGAGGCCATCAACCTCGGAAAACGCCGCGCGGATTGGGGGTGCGACCCCCGAGGCACCGGCTCTTCCCTAACCCGCTCCGGAGGCGTTTTTCCTTTGGCTGCAAAACTGCCTTTGGTTGGACACGAGGAATCCAGCCGGGAGTTGCGGGTGGATGCAGGAGCCCTAGTTACAGGGTCAAACTTTCTAAGCACTTTTTTTATTGTTGTAAAAAAAAAACCAACCCTCTTGTACATACTACGAAGACAAAACGCTTTTAAAGAGAAACGTGTATAAATGTGGCAGGAGGGGGGGTGGGGGAGGGTGGCATTTAGGAACCTGCTGTCAGTTATGGGGCAGAGCACTTTCAATGGTTAATCTAATTAATTTGAACCTACGATGCTCCAGTGAGGCGGGGAAACCCCGGTTGCCGGAGGAGAGACTGAGGATAACAGATTCGGAGGCTCGCTCAGGGAAGGGGCCACGCAAGAACGCAACCACATCAGCTCTGAGGATGGAGCCTGAAGAAACTCTGACAGCGGAGCAGCCGGGACCCCAAATGCTTCCCAAGTGTGACCGGTTAGAAATCAGGACAGAATCGGGCAGCAGGGTAATCGACAGGGAAGGAAAAGCAGGACTTAAATGCATTTCCAGCTGACACTCAGCAGTTCCTAGAAGGGGGTGGCAAAGAGGCAGGAAGGCAGAGTTGTTTTTCTTTTTCTTTTTTGGAAACGGGACGTTTTCAGAGCGCCCACCGCAGTCGGGGTTACTGTAAGCTCAACCTGTCCCTTCCCCTGCAGGGCTTTCTCTTACCCCTCGCGGCCACCCGGGGACAGCAGGAGCCAGGAGCTGCTGCGCGCAGGGTCCCGCGCCTCCCCGCAGGGGCCCGGGGGGCGGAGGCGGGGCTTCGCGG